GAAAGGAAAAATAAGGGAATAAATAAATAAAATGAAATAGTTTTAAAATTCTGGTTTTAGTATATGAAGATTAAGTTATATTGAAACAACTGAGCTGTAGCTCTCTTCTGCCTTTTCCTGTAACTCTCAAAGGATACACAAAAGTTAACTGATCTAAGTCAGAGAACCAGTAATGGTTTGCTTTTAAATAATGTCTTTCATCTCAGATTCTGAATGAATATTCTTCAAAGGCATCCCTCGGTTTTATCAAAGAGAAATGAAAAGCTGACATGGCATTCCATGTTGAGTGTGTTGAGTGAGTGCATAAATATACTCACAGACAATAACAGTTCTCAGCAGCAAAGAAGCCATAAGCTCAGCTTCCAGTTCACTGCTCTCAATATCAGATTCATTCATTAACTTCTTCATTTATTCACTAATATTTATTGAGAGTTTGCTATGAGTCAGGCCCTGGGGAAGGTCTTGGCAGTACAATGGTGAGTAAAGCAGACAATTCTTGACACTTCCATTAGGAAGTGTTCATTTTATCAATACATGTGACCCCTACTATAATGGGAATTAGATTTATTTTTATTTTTATTTTTGTTCAGTCACTTACAAAATAGGATTGTGTTTTTTCTGTCAAAGCAATGTATTGTAAGAAAGCTGGTTCTCCAGTTATTCTAGCAACCTAAACACAAAATTATCTTTTCCTTTATCAAGAAAATTTTTCCTTTTTTTTTTCACCATTTTCTTTGACTTCTAATTTTATATAGATAAATGACTATATATTTATTTAAGTTCTTTGTTTCTTTTTGACTGTTTAAAACAAATAGGTCCAAAGCTGGGTCACATACTAACCGATACCGAAGTCCAATACTTATGGATTAAAGTTTATTTGCCCTTATCAGAAGACAAACCCTAAAAAGCCCAGCAGGCCTTACCTTCCTCCACTGTGACAGTCTGTTCTGAGGCTGGCGATGGGGGTGGAGAAGGAGGCAGATTAGCTGTCTCTTCAGCTGCTAAAGATCAAACAATGGAAAAATGAGATATAGCAATTAATCCTATTAGGCCAGTAGACGTGTAGGCATTTCTACCATCTGTAAAAAGGCCTCTCTATGAAATTCAGGGAAAGATTCAAGCTGTAATTTAACTTATTTTTAGGCCCATAACCTGATTCATATATTTTGAACACCTAAAAAGTATGACAAGCATTTAATATTTTTTTTAAAAAAATCAATTTGTCTTTTCCATAAAAATGGATTAGAGATGCCTGCTAAAATTCTATCACTGATCCATAACCTGATTCATATATTTTGAACACCTAAAAAGTATGACAAGCATTTAATATTTTTTTAAAAAAATCAATTTGTCTTTTCCATAAAAATGGATTAGAGATGCCTGCTAAAATTCTATCACTGATCACATTAATTTGTGTCTACCTGTTTAGTAATAAAGTATTTCATTTTGGCCCTAATTTACCATATGAAAACACACACAAGCAGGCATTTTAGCTTGGATTCAGCTAGACTGAGTGAAAAAAATATTAAAACTCTTCATTGTTTAACTGTAGAATCTGGAAACAAATGTGCATTCGTAGTTATTTTAGGTGACATTTTTTAAACAACATTTTGTCTACTAAGTCTAATAAATCCGTCTTCTGTACGTATTCACAGAAAAGAAAAATGAAGCTTTCACAGTCTAAGATAACCTTTAGACAGAAACCAGGTACTAGTGAGAGCTGAGTAATCTTCTGGCCTTGGCATTACACATGAAGAAAGGCCAGAGAGAAAGGCTCTAGAAGATGCAATTCATTCACAGTTAACTCTAAGTCTTCCTTTTCAAGACACTTACCTTCTTTATGACCTTATGTGAAGGTAAAAAATTTCAGAGAGAGTCACCTTTCTTGTACCTCTTCGTGTACATACATATATATGGTTGTCTGTCTATCCATCCATCTATCTGTTGAGTAGAGGCAGCAGACCTTTGTCTGAGAGTGCTTTCCTTGGCAGGCATGTGTTACATTGCCTGTCTGGCCCTGGAAGGCATTTGATTTGGGACCGAGGGAGAGGGCAGTGCTATCTCAGTGCCCTTAAATAAACCAAGTGAAGGTCAGTAACTCATATGGGATACAAAGTTGCCAATGATGATAACCAAGCTCATGCCATACCTTTGTGTAGCTAGTTCAAGGAAATGCAAACAAGACAGCATAGATAATCCTTCACCAATACCCATAAAGGGCAACAATCACCTTTAACTAAAGTTTTAGTACATTTGTCTTATGGGTCAGGGTCATGAAATCAAAATGTATTAGCTTTATTTTTATAACAACTTTTGCTTGTGGTCTGGAACACGAAAAATGAAGGGCCACTTAGGGGAAAGTCTAACTGTAAGCTTAGCACCCTATAGATGACCCAAATACCACAATGAAGCTGTTGAGGAAGGTGAAAATGGGTCCCAGTGCATCTCAGTAGAGGTGCTTGATGAGTGCTACAAGGAAGGATGAAGTATGAGATATGGACTGTCCTTTGACTGTGAAGACCTTACGTAGGGATCAGGGTGCAGCAGGCACAGCCCAGACCTGAGGCTCTTCTCATTACCTAAAGGCAGAGCTGCAGGCCGATCTTTATGCTGAGCTTCTTTCTCTTGTTCACCTTTCAGGACTGCTACAGCCTCAGCCGTGACTACTTGAACTATCCTTGCAGACACCTCCTCTGTAATAAGCAGTAACAAAAGAAAACATAATGATGAGAAATCCAAAACAGGTGTCAAAAAGGAAAAGTAACCAAACAGTACGGTGGGTTAGAATTTCATTTTTGCTGTCTTCCTCCCAAAAAAGTACAATATGATTTTTTAAATTGGTGATAAACCACAAATCTATATATGTTAATTTAATATAATTAAGTCAGAAAAAAATTAAGAAAATAATTTTTCATCAAATAAAAATAGAAGTAGGCTTTTGAAATTAAAAATGTATTCTAGATTGGATATCCATTGTACAGAATTTAGCTTTTCACCTTCCTTACAATAAAAGCATCTACCACACTAGGAAATAAACCCATCTGGATTTTCTGGATCTATCAAACTACCAGTACTACACAGTCTTGAATTACTGCAGTTAGGCACTGCATGCCTCTCTAAGCCAAGCAGTATCACAGACTGTGGGTTTTGTGCCCTCCTGGGGGAAAGTTACTGAGCACTTTGCCATAGCCTGGGTTTGTGGCCATAGTATTTAACAGTTGAGGAAGTTTTCTTCTTGTTTTGTTTGGGAGAACAAAGTACTATAAGACCAACTGTGCTAAAGCAACAGGAGAAGAAAATCCAGTTCCACCTGTCTCCTCCTCGAATGGGCTCCCAGCCTGTCCCCTGGGCAGACGGGGCAGTCAGAGGCCCTAACCACAGGCTAGAAAAGGAAAATCCGGCAGTCATCTGATCCAGCCCTCAGTACTGCCTTCTACTAGCAACTAGCATCTCCCAGGGAATTAACCTTTCATTTTCAAGTTAACCTTAAAATCCCCAA